TGTCCGTAGGTTTTTTTGTAAATTTAGCAAAGTTTGAGCATACTTTATATCCAGAAAAGCAAGATGTGGTATCGAAGAAACACCTAGCAAGTAGCAATTGTCTGTGAAATCTTCTATGCACATATTTTCTCTCTTTTTTCCAATCTCTTTTTCACAGACTAATGTATTCTTAGTTTTTAACTTTTTAAAATTGCAGGAACACACGACCTTTTATTTTATTTTCTTATTGGACATACAATCTCTTTATTTATACCTCTACTTTAAATAAATAGAGCAACGACAAACTTAGTGTAATCTCAGACATAGGGTCTGGGTAGGGTAGTGTGTACGCAGACCTTACCCCTATCTTGTGGAGATAGAGATGTTATTTTTGATAGACCTTCGCCTCAAGGAACAGTAAAAATTAAGTGACAAACAGTACCAACAATAATATAATAGGAACAAATGGCACAACATGTAATATAAAGAACCAAGAAAAAAAATAATTTATAACAAATTATATATGTACTGATATACACAGTTGAACCATAGCGAAAGACTAAAATCTATCTACACAAAAAATAAAGACTAAATCTACCTGTGAGTATTAAAACGGAAAATACTCAATGTTTTAAAGGAGCTTAGAGTAGCAAGCTGATTTTTATTGCTTAAAATGATAATTTATTTTTAAAAACATAACTTTAACAATGCAATGTAAAGTTACGATAAGCCGTAATAGTTCAAAGATGAATTTTTTATTTTTATTTTAAATTAACATAGTTTATTTCATGATACAACAATAATTGTTGCATATAATATTTATTCTTGCACGCCAAATCTCCGTTGTTACAAATAGTGGATTATCTAATATTTGATATTCAGTTAAAAAGAAAATTTTCATGCTTATGCTTGAGGTCACATTAGACTTCAAGAAAATTATCAGAAATTACTTTCTAAATACTACATTAAAAGAAAGGAATTTTTATCGTGCATTTGCAAATAAAATAAAAGAAAAATATATTCTACAACTTTGAGGTACTTTGGATGGTATAATTATGCTATTTGATCCTCTAATTACCAAAAGTACTACAACCATGCATTGCCTCTTGTAAATATGTTGTCACGATCCAAAATCTCACTTGTCGTGATGTCGCCTATCTCAATACTAGGCAAGTTGGCAATCTCAATAAACTGCCATATCTTTCATGTTTAAAAACAAAATGATTAAATTTAGCGGAAGAAAATTCACAAATACATATATACACTTCCAAAACCTGGTGTCACTGAGTACATGAGCATCTAATATGAATACAAAGTCTGACTGACAAAATCACTGTCTGAAAATATAGAACATTACAATAATTAAACAGGAAGGGAATCAAAGTCTGCAGACGTCAAGCATCTACCTTGATAGTCCCCAACAGAATTAACTTTGAAATCTAGCAGCCGCCGCATCCGGGAGCACCTGGATCTGCACATGAGTCGCAGAGTGTAGTATGAGTACAACTAACTCAATAAGTAACAAGGCTAACCTCTGGGCTGAAAGCAATGATGAGCTCCGCAGGTACAGTCCAGTATAAAAATAATGGTATAGAAATGAAGGCATGCTTTCAAGTTCAACAGTTAAACTCAGTACAAGCGAAATAGATCAATATTGCACGATATGAGGAATATGACATCTCAGTGGAAAGACCTCATGTAATACTGGTCACGAATCATTCGGTCACTCGGTATTGTTTATGGCCAATCCGGCCCAGGGGTGTTCCAACCCTATATATATACACATCGAATGACAGTCAGCCGCTCAGTACCGTATAAGGCCAATCCAGCCCTGGAAAAATTTATCCCCAAATATAAATGATACGGACAAGATTCATGTCCTGGTAAATTCATTATAATATAAATAAGTAAGGCAAGTCCATGTCCTGGAAAAATTCATCCCGAATATATATATATAATCATCGTAAGTAAGGCAAGTTCATGCCCTGGGAAGTCCATCCCGAATATATATATATAATCATCGTAAGTAAGGCAAGTTCATGCCCTGGGAAGTCCATCCCGAATATATATAATTATCTACGATCACTGGGGATGTGTATAGACTCCGGAGGGACTCCTTCAGCCCAAGCGCTATAAATCAACAATGCTCACTAGGGGTGTGTGCAGACTCTCGTAGGGGCTCATTCAGCCCAAGCGCGATATAAAGCCGATATGGCCTACTGCAGGCGGACAACCCCGATTCGTATAATAATAAAGCCAATAAGGCTCGTTGCAGGCGAGCAACCCCGATCCATTTAATAATAAAGTCAATAAAGCCTGCTGCAGGCGGGCAGCCCCGATCCATAAAATAGTAAAGCCAATAAGTCCTGCTGCAGGCGGGCAATCCCGATCCATAAAATAGTAAAGCCAATAAGTCCTGTTACAGGCGGGCAACCCCGATCCATATAATAATAATGTATAAAGCCATTATGGCCTGTTGCATCGCGCAGCTCAATCCCATAAATATTCTCACAATGGACAAATATTACTGAGTGTGAAATGTATATTTGTTTGAACAATTAATTCAACAGCAACACGAACCCATGGGTCCCAAAATATTAGCACATAGCCTAAACATGATCTTTAATAGGAGCCTCGGCTCAATTTCTCTAACACGTGGAGAATGTTCAGGTAATAACATGATTCATTAATCTTACAACTACACAGGATTTATTCAAGACACAATTTATATGGTGCACGTCCACATGCTCGTCACCTATCGTGTGTGTCACCTTCAAACAATTTATATCATACCAAATTCGGGGATTCATACCCTCAGAACCAAGTTTAGAAGTGTCACTAACCTCAAACCGTGTAATTCTTTACTATGGTATGTCTTTACCTCGTGAATTTGCCTCCAAACGCCTCGAATCTAGCCACAATTAATTTGGTTAAGTCAATACAAATTATAAGAATTAACTCCATATCAAAATACTAATTTTTCCATAAAATCCGAAATTACACTCAAAAAATCGCTCGTGCAACAAAAGTTACAAAATATAAACGCCCATTCAACCACGAGTCCAACCATACAAATTTTACTCAAATCCGACATCAACTCGACTCTCAAATCTCCAAATTAAACCAAGAGGGTTTTCACAAATTTTCAACTTAATTCACCATTTAATTGTTAAAAACAACCATGGATTCGGGTAATTTAGCCAATATTGAATTAAGAACACTTACCCCATTATTTTCCTTGAAAATCTCCCAAAACTCGCCTCTTCCCGAGTTTAAATCCGTCAAAAAGTGGAACAGAACTTAAATCTGCTGCCCAGTCATTTACCCTATGCGATCGCGAAGCACAAAATTTTTCTAGCCCTTTCTTACTCTATGCGATCGCGGCCATTCTCCCGCGATCGCGAAGAACAAATTCCCCAATAACCTTGTCCAACTTCTTCCGAATAACCTCTAGTATAATGGTTATAACTTTTTGTACACAATTTCAAATGACAAATTGTTTACATTTTTGAAAACTAGACACAAAGATCTACAGCTTTCATTTTTGGATCATCTCAAAATTCCTTATAGATTACGAGATATAAACTTTCAAATTCGGGTTAGTGCAGCAGAAAATTTCCTCTACGCGATCGCGAAAGGCCTTCCGCGATCGCGATTCACTGGCCCTTTTTTTCCTATTTTGTGCTTTGCTATCGCGGCCAATTCCACGCGATCGCATAGCACACTGCTGTAGCCAAAAATCAGCAGCTTTAAATGGCCTAGAAATGGTCCGAAACCATCCCGAAACTTACCCGAGGCCCCTGGGACCTCAACCAAATACATCATTAAGTCCCAAAACATCATACGAACTTAGTTGAAGCCTCGAATCACATCAAACAATGTTAAAATCATGAATCGTACCTCAATTCAAGCCTAATAAATTTTGAACTTTCAAATTCTATATCTTGTGCCGAAATACATCAAATCAATCTGGAATGACTTTAAATTTTGTACACAAGTCATAAATGACATAACAAAGCTATTCAAATTTTCAGAATCAGATTCCGACCTCGATATCAAAAAGTCAACCCCTGGTCAAACTTTCCAAAAATTCAACTTTCGACATTTCAAACCTAATTCCACTATGTACCTCCAAATAATTTTCCGAACACGCTCCTAAATCCAAAATTACCATACAGAGCTATTGGAATCATCAAAACTCTATTCCGGGATCGTTTATACATAAGTCACCATTCGGTCAACTATTTCAACTTAAGCTTCCAACATGAAATTTATTCTTTCAAACTAACTCCGAAATACCTTAAAACCAAAACCGACAATTCACACAAGTCATAATACCTCATAGGAAGTTATTCAAGACTTCAAATAGTTGAAAGGAGCGTAAATTCTCAAAATGACCGGTCGGGTCGTTACATATGCTTAAGCAGAAAAAATATAAAATTATAACAAAAAGAAACAAATTAAACTGAAAGTCCAGAATATCATAAAATGAGAATGATAAGTAAGAATGAGCCTTGCATCTTTTCAGCTATTGAATATTTTTAATATTATTTTGTGTAATATTGAAAATTTTAATACTTGATGATTACTCTCTATTATTTTGCTATTTAAAATTTTAACTTTTGATTCTAATGGTCCACCCAATGATATATATACATGTGTCTGTGTTAACCTGTATAATTTATTTATACGGGATCGAAAAAATAAACTGTAAATCTAATTATCTTTTTATGTAAGAATTTAGAAAAAATCTCGACATGTAATATAGTACTTGGGCCATGCTTAGGGGCATCTTTTACTAGTTATATAAGAAATAAAAAAGTTGATTGATAGAGTTATCTATTAATGCAAGATTGCAAGGTTTGACGTAATTGGGATGCGAGCAATTTGATTCGATTATTATTATTATTATTATTAAGAAAAAAAAAATGTAAAAGGAAAAGTATCAGATGCCCAACCACCCCAACCTCACAACCCCTCCAAATTTTTGGACCATTACTACCATTTATAATTGCCACCCCATAATTCCAAGTTGCCACGCACTTGTTCATTTTTCTTCTGTGTCACCTTTGTCCCATTTTTCTCTCATTTTCCACTTTGCAAACTTCCCTTTGAATATCCTAAAAGAAGAAGAAATGGCAGATCAGCTCACAGATGATCAGATCTCTGAATTCAAAGAAGCTTTCAGCCTTTTTGATAAGGATGGAGATGGTCAGCTCTTCACTATTCCTAACATTCTTTTGAATAAAAATTAAAATTTTAATCACTTTTGATAATACCCAGATGCCAAAATTCTTAAATTTGTTGTTTTTTCTCCTATTTATGTGATTATATTTTCTTGGCCTTGCCTAAATTTGATCCTAGGTTTAGAGTCAATGGGTCAGAATCCTTGCTTTCTATCTTTATATATATATGTATTTAAATTGTTTGTATATATATATATATAAAGCTAAAAGCAGTGGATTTGGTTTAACATGATTTTAAGGGCGAGATCCACATCTAGTGTTGCCTTTTCTTGACCAATTTGTGATCTATGAGGTGAGTTGATGTCGAGTGAGTTAACTGGATCCGACGTAGTAGGTACTCGATGGAATAGTCAAGGTGCTCACAAGGTGACCGGATACCACTTTAAGAAAAAGGTGGATCCAATATTTTAAGTGAATGAGTGTGGAATACCGTTGAAACGAAGTGTACCCCTTTGTGAAAATGAGTGTAAACTTATTATAAATTTATAAATATTAGGGAAGATTATTCCATTCAATATATATAGTTGGAATGGAGACGACAACAACAACATACCCAGTGTAGTCCCGTAAATGGGGTCTGGGGAAGGTAGTGTATACGTAATACCCCACCTTGTGAAGGTAGAGAGCTTGTTTTCGATAGACCCTCATAGTTGGAATGGAGACCATTGATACAAATGCACCCACGGCCAAAACCTAGCATCTTTTCATGGTGAGGATGGTAGTCAAATTGTGTCACTACGTGGAGAACTTACACTTCAAAATGACCTTGGTGATGCTCTTTCTTTGTTTTTATTTGGAATATATTTGATAAAGATTTGATTTTGAATCTGGGTTTTGCTTCAACTTGTGGTAGAAATGGATGTGAGTTTGATCTATGCGAAATTGGTCGATTTTGAGTGTTGGTCAATAGCAGTTCTTGTTGGTATTGTTAACTTGTTTGATTGATTGTGGGAACTTGAGTATTGTTTTTGTTTTGACAAATGAGCAATTTGGGGGTTGCATCAGAATGGTGCTGTTGAAATTGTATTTGGCTGAAATCAGTTAACATCTCTTAGCACGGTTGAACCTCTTAAGCGTTTCCTAACTAGGATCCTTCTGTTGATTGATGATATGTTTGGTTTAACGATGGATATAATCCATTTTGTTCAATATGATTACTTGTTGGTAGTGGGGCTGTGTAAGTTTTCGTACAATGCTTTAATTTGTGAGAAAGTTTATGCTTGTCTTTAGGGAAGGATGTTCGCTCATATGGTTAAATGAAATGTTCTGACTTCAATAATCTTTAGACATTTTTTGGCATAGTCACCGTTCTCGAGACATTACTGATGTTCCCTATCTATATTTGTAAAGTTACAGCAGTTATACCTTCACAAGGTAGGGGTAAGGCTGCGTACACACTACCTTCCCCTAGACCTCACTTGTGGGATTACCCTGTTTTTTTTTTTTGTATACAGCAGTTAGTTCATTATTCTGGTGCAGACTGAAGTTTCAGATTTAGCAGTATTACATAAGCTAATTTGTTTGTAATACCAAACCTGAAAAGCTGCTTTTGTTTCTTCTTCCTTATATTTTATAAATTGAAGTCGTGGAGGCGGTTAATGATGTGTTGGTTTTATCGTACATCTTTCATCTCTTTCAGTCTCTTTGATGAAATCTATGTTCGGCTATTCTCTTTATTTTGTACTTGTCTTTAATTTTCTAGTTTGATCCGGACCACTGTTTTGCTTGTAGAATGAATAAGATGAGAAAAAAAGCCTTTTTAAGTACTGTATGATTTTAACATAATGTCTGTACATATTTAGTAATTATTGCCAAATATGCTACAGGTTGCATCACCACTAAGGAGCTTGGGACAGTGATGCGGTCGTTGGGACAAAATCCAACTGAGGCTGAGCTTCAAGACATGATCAACGAAGTAGATGCTGATGGAAATGGAACCATCGACTTCCCCGAGTTCCTTAACTTGATGGCTCGCAAGATGAAAGACACTGATTCTGAGGAGGAGCTCAAGGAAGCTTTCAGAGTGTTCGACAAGGATCAGAATGGATTTATTTCTGCAGCCGAGCTGCGCCATGTCATGACAAACCTAGGCGAGAAGCTTACCGATGAAGAGGTTGATGAGATGATTCGTGAAGCTGACGTGGATGGTGATGGACAGATCAATTATGAGGAGTTCGTCAAAGTCATGATGGCCAAGTGAGAACATCAACTCAACTTAATTCTTAGAACTGAAAAATTACAAAAAAAAGAAGCTGGAAACGGGGCAGATAAATTGGATGAGATTTCTATATTTGGATAGGATACGTTCTTTTACGTTATTAGCTTTGTTTGGGTGCTTTCCTCTTTTCTTACTCGCATTGTTTTGTAGTGCTACTCTTCAGTATATGCTTGTCTGCTCTGTTTTGTCAGTAAGTACTGGTTTTTTCTTCTTAAATTTCAACATTTTGAACCTATGATAATTGGAGATTTTATGTGTTCCATTCTAAGTGACCAATTTTGTTTATATTCCAGATTCTTGTGTATGTTTGCTCTTTATTTCTGACTTCTGATTCGTGTCGATTTGCCTTTCAATTTTATGTTAGAATATTCAATTTTCTTTTTAAGCAAAGCAAGATTCATCTTGTGGAAACAGTTGGGTTTTGTCTTGTGTAAACACTTTTGGCTTCCATGCTCCAAGGGGTCCTCTTACACATTGTGGTAGAATAACTTTATTTGTTTTTGACTAGTGCAAAACCGGTGTATAAAACTGCTCGTCAGTCAAAGATAATACAAATAAATTAGAGTGGCGAGGAAGTTGCTAGTGAAGATATAATCGTATCTAGGGAGATGGTGTCGCCGCTAAAACAACCGACCCACTAGTTGCCGCTAAAACATCTGACCTACTCAATGTAGGCATTTGGCCATAAGTTTTGGAAGTTTTTTTTAAAATTTATTTTTTGAAATATGTGTTTGTTTATAGAATTAATCTAGTTTTTGGGAGATTTTGAAAATCAAAACTTTAAATTCCAAAACTAGTTTAAGACCGCTTTTTGGGCCAAATCATGAACATTTGGGACTTTTTAGCCGGAATTTTTTTTAACACGTCAAAACTTGCCCCAAAAGTCATGTCCAAACATAATTTCAATTTCAAATCAACTATTTCAAAAAATATTTTGGAATCTATGTCAAAACGGGTCCGAAGTTGTCACGACCCGAAATTTCCACATTCGGGAGCGTGATGACGCTTAACATTTCACTTGCCAGGTAAGCCTACCTTAGAATAATTTTAACCATTTTTAACAATTCATCTTAATTAAATAGTAATGAAATCAGCAACTGGAATAATATCTGAATTTAGGTGAACAAACCAAAATAAATACGATGTCTAAATACCATCCCAGATCTGGAGTCACAAGTGCACGAGACAAACAAGGGTCTGAAAAAAATAAAGCTGTCTGAAAGAAAGCACACAACTAAGATAAAGTAGAAGGGGACTTCAGAGCTGCGAACATTGTGCATCTATACCTCGAGTCTCCTCTGATAGTTGAATCCGAACAAATTTACAGTACGCCGCTGGGACCAACTCCGGTATCTGCACAAGAAGTGCATAGTGTAGTAAGAGTACAACCGACCCCATGTACTCTGTAAGTACCGAGTCTAACCTCGATGAAGTAGTGACGAAGGTAGGACATGTCGCTTACATTAACTTGTACGCAATAATAATATAATAAACAAAGGATATAATAATAATTCACATGGGGAATCAGGAATATAGACACCTCTAGTATTTCTATGAATAGAGTCATTTATGAAAGTTGCGTATTTTGCTCGTTTCGTTTGTATCATTTGGATCATGCCAAAAAGAAAGAAGGGATAGCCTTAACATACCTTAACTCCGTTGATTCCTTAATACCTTCCAAGAAATTCTTCAAACAACTCAGTTCAATCTACCACATCATAAGGAGATTCAAAATCAGTGCTGAGTAAAGGCTAAGTCCTCAACTTAAACTAGTAGCTCGTTTATATAAATTTGGACAGCATCTCCCCTGTAACTAGGCCCTCCTCCAATATCATATACCAACAACAAAAAGAACACAACAATAACAAAATGTAAGAATCATTTTTCAACCTTATCTCCATCACAATATACCACAAAACAGCCCACACACCCTAATCACTTCATACATAAAACGACAACCAAAGTAGTGTCAAACAACTTAAAACAATATAACGACGAACGATCAGCCCACCATTCCGTCATTATGTGGTGTTTATCCACACCATTTATCCTCCAAAACTTCATTAAACAGTAGAAAAATATGCAGCCCAAAGGCAACACGAAACAGCCTACAAAACAGTCCACTACAAGTCAAATAACTCGAACTCACGGCTTCCGATCACCGTCCCGTGAGTTATAACTATTAGGAAACGAATTTATCAACATTTCTTGATATTTAAACACTTAAATACAGAAAGTAAACCTTTTCTTGACTATGAAGTACCTTTCAAAACTCAAACTACAAAGAAAAAGAGAGGCGATATAGCGATATTTACGTCGTAGGGATCGTTTTAATGTTATCGCTTCTTTATTCCGTGCCCGAGATGATAATCTTGTTTGAAGCTCTTGCATAAAGCTTAATAGTAAAGTTAGGGGTGTTATTTGGGCGAGCTCTCGGAAAATATGGAGAAAGAGACGAGATGGGATGCAAAAATTCCATTTTATTTAAAAGTAAAAAAGGTGCTACTTGGCACCCTATGATTGGCCCTTTTTCCAACGCTTATAACGTTCTATCCAAGTATCGTATGAACAAACGGTTAAGAGAGCTAGAAACTACATTCCAAGAACTTCAATTTGGTATATAATATGTCCCAAAAAGACCTCATATAGCACACGAAATTTATTTCTCAAAACGCTCTGTTACAAGGCAAATCCTTAGTCGGGTTTTCCGCAACTTTAATCCGATTTTTCCCAAACTTCATATTTTCTATACAAACATCATATATAGCCATATTATGACTTTAAAATCATTTAAATCATTATTAACAAGTCTCATATTCATTATGTCACTTTGGAACGCACAGAGTGTAAAAATCTTCCCCCCTTAGAAACATTCGTTCTCGAATGTTAAACTCCCAGAAATCTATAGAAATTTTGGCAGAGTCTTCTATGTAAGAGTACTACTACCAACTTGTCAAACAGCAAATCCAACAATACAAATCCACACAGGGCCATAATCATCAATAACACCAATGGCCTCACACGACCAATAACAATATCTAACATAATAATCAAGTACCATATACGTACCTAAAGGCTGTGATGTCTTAGTCTGATCCTTCTCCGGAAGTGGAAACAAGTGAGGATATCTAGTCTTCATTTCTTCTTCACTTCCCGAGTCATCTCCTGCACATTATTGTTAATCCGAAGTACTTTAATCGAATCTACATCCTTAGTTCTTAATCTCCAAACTTGTCTATCTAGTATAGCAATGAGAGCTTCCTCATATGATAGCTGCTCTTTAAACTGAACATCGTCAATTGGAATGACTTTAGAGGGATCTCCAATACACTTACGAAGCATAGGCACATGAAATACTGGATGTACAGACTCCAATTTGGAAGGCAAGTTTAACTTATATACTACTTGGCCTACTCTGCGTATAATCTTATAAGGTCCAATGTACCGAGGGTTAAGCTTTCCTTTCTTACCGAATCTCATAATGCCTTTAATCGGTGACATATTTAGGAATACCCAGTCATTTACCTGAAACTCCAAGTCTCGTCGTCGATTATTTGCATAGGACTTCTGACGACTCTGTACTGCTAATAGCCTTTCCCTTATAAGTTTAATCTTCTCAACTTCCTGTTATAGCAACTCTGTTCCTACTAACTTAGTTTCCCCAATATCGAACCATCATATAAGAGACCTACACTTTGGTCCGTAAAGAGCTTCGTATGAAGCCATCTGAATGGTAGAATGATAATTATTATTATATGCAAACTCAATAGGTGGAAGATGATCATCCCAGCTACTCGTGAAGTCTATCACATAAACCCGTAGCATATCCTCCAATGTCTGAATAGTACGTTCAACCTGACCGTCTGTCTGGGGATGAAATGTTGTACTAAGACTTACCTGAGTCCCCAATCCTTTTTGGAAGGACCTCTAGAAATTACCTGTAAACTGAGCACCTCTATCTGAGATAATAGATATAGGGACACCATGAAGTCGTACTATCTCTCTAACGTAAAGCCTTGCATAATACTCTGTTGAGTAGGTAGTCATGACAGCAGAAAATAGGCTGCTTTTGTAAGTCTATCAACAATAACCCATACAACATCGAACTTACATTGGGTATGAGGTAAGCCTATGATGAAATCCATATTAATCACTTCCCATTTCCAAGTCGAAATCTCCATAGCCTGTAATAATCCACAAGGTTTCTGATGCTCAATCTTAACATGCTCACAATTAGGGCACTGAGCAACAAACTCTGCTATATCCTTCTTCATTTTATCCCACCAGTATATTCCCCTGATGTCATGATACATCTTCGTCACTCCTGGATAAATAGATTAATGAGAATAGTGAGCTTCTCCCATAACCTGCTGGCGCAACCCTGCCATATTAGAACACATAACCAACCTCGATATCTGAGGACTCCATCTCCTGTAATCTCAAATGGTGTATTCTCCTTTTGAGGGGATGTATCTCTATAATGAGCTAGCACAGGATCCTCATACTGGCGTTCCTTCACTTCAATTACTAAAGAGGATGTTATCGTGTCCTGAATAGTAACTCTGGTATCACCTGAGTCCAGTAATCGAACTCTAAGACTAGCTAGCTGATGAATCTCATGGGCTATCCCACACTTCTCTGGCTGTAAATATGACATGCTATCCTTAGAACTACGGCTGAGGGCGTCGGCTACTACATTCGCCTTCCCCGGATGGTATAAAATATCAACGCCATAGTCTTTCAGTAGCTTCAACCATCTCCTTTGGCGTAAATTCAATTCCTTTTGATTGAAGATATATTGAAGGCTCTTATGATATATATATATATATATATATATATAAATGCCATACAAATAGTTCCTCCATATCTTTAGTGCATGAATCACCGCGGCTAACTCTAAATCGTGGGTCAGATAATTCTTCTTGTGCTTTCTTAGTTGTATTTAAACATAAAAGCGATTACTTTTCATGGTCGTTCTGCTACTTGTTGCATGAATACATGGCTTATCTCATTGCCCACAAATATTGGAATTTCCTGTAACTCATATGATCTCAAATATCATCTTTTGATTTTTTTTTATTCCCGTTCATTAGCCACGATAGGTGCCACTTTCTTATGGAGTGCGTACAATGTTGTTGTGAGACTGTTGTTAGAAGACCATTTCTTCCTTATGTAATTGTGCTTAAGTTGAAGACTTCTTCCTTATTCTCTCAGCTAGTCTTTCTTTGTAGTACTTAAGAGAGACCCTTTGACTCCTGTAAAGCTGTGAGCTTATTACATCGTATACCCGAA